TTCGAGTTTGTTTTGTTTAAAAAAAAAAAAAAAAAAAAAAAAAACGTTGGAAATAGAATGGTGTTTTTTTTTTTGGAATTTCTTTCTATTCAAGATAAGAAAAACGCAAAAAAGAAAAAATTAAAAGTAATGTAATTAACTGATTCAAAAAAAAAGTTAATGTAATTACGGTTTTTGAAAATTGTGGTGTTTCTGAATCGACCCACGATTTTCGGAGTGGCGTTCCCGCCTTGTACCATTCGTCTTTGTTTTGGCTTCTTCTTTTTTCGGATTTGAATTATTAATTAAAAAACCAAAAATATCTCTTCACGCCCCGGCCAACCCAAAAGATTTTTTAAGAAAACCTTTTAATTATTAAATTAAATGGGGAGCAAAAGGCCAAAATTTTTTAAATTTTATTTTGCGGGTACGTGGAGTTCACGGGTTTGTCAGGCGCGTCGATGTGGACGGCTTTGTTGTTATGTGTGTGCAGATGGGAAATTGTAGTCCCTGGCCTGCCAACCGCTCATAGCCAATTATGGCAAAAGAATTACTTTTAAAGAAAAATAATGAATTTCGGGAGCAATATGTTTTTCTGTGTTTTCTTTTTTAGGTGAGGATGAAAATTTTGCCTTAGCCAATTAACTTTTAGGTCTTATTTATTTCGCTGATTCGAGTTTAAAATTTAAATTTTATTACAGTAAAAAACTCTCATAAATCATCACATCTAACTTTTTTGTTACAGTAAAAAGCTCCAACATAAAATCACATCTCAATTCAAATTAAAAACTCGAATCAGCGAACTAAACGAAATGACGTTATTCACGTCATATTAAAAAAAAAAAAAAAACTTCTTGAGGTTTTCTATCTAGGCTGTCGGATTAGAAAAGGTAAATGAAGTGGTACATTTTTTTTTACTTACACTGATTGGTTTGGTTGATTCTTTTTGTTTGGTAGTTGCAATGTGGAACAAATGTAATATTTGTTGTTTTCATAAAGTAATCATAAGAATTATAAGCGTAATAATGTTATTGGACCAAAAATCTATGGGATGAAAGAAATATGACTATTCTTTTTTTTTTTTTTTTCCTTTTGTTGAAAACCCTAGATACCATTAGCTATTGAAAAGATGAAGAGTCCGTTTGGTATCTAGATTCGTTTTCTGATTCGAATTATGGTTCGTGATTCGCTACAGTATTTTCTCTCATAAAAAATGCACGTAAATCGAAAATGGTTCTAATCACATGGTTTGAATTCATGAACCAAACGCCACTGAAATTAACACAATCCTTAGGTGCAACGAAGAGTTGTAGTTCTTTTTGCAATGGCATAAATAATTTATGCTCGTTCATTTCACCGATTTGAATTTAAAATTTGAGTTTTATTATAGTAAAAAGCTATCATAAACAATCATATTTAACTTTTTTATTACAGTAAAAAATTTTCACATAAAATCACATCTTAACTCGAATTAAAAATTCGAATCAACGAACTAAACGGGTCCATAATCCTAGAAACTTGATAATAAAGACATTCCAATGACCGAATTGTTGATAGTTACCACCGAATGGATGGTCTAGCGGCAATGGATTGCGGTCTGTGGTGGTCGTCAAGTATGGGTGGTTATTTTTAAGAGTTTTTAATGTGAATGTTTGCCTCATACATTTTTGTTAGGAAAAAAAAGAGAAATTCACTCAAAATAGTAAAAAATATTATTTATGTTATTTTATTTAAAAATAAATAATTATCATTTAATTAATAAAAAAATAAGAAATTATAATTGCACTAAATTATTTAAAATGATAAAAATAATAAATTTACATAAAATTATAACAAATTATGTACTTTTTTCCTTAACTGAAGCGCTCATATAACTTTTTATCAGCAATCGAGAGAGTAACACATAAAGAAACTAAACTAATATTGATCATTCTCCGGACTTTTTTTTTCATAAAATAAAAGTTATGTTAATAGTGTTTGCGAAAAAAAAAAAAAGAATTGTACATACTCTTCCAATAAAATTATACGTCGGATAAAAGGTATATATTTTATCTTTTATGGGTTTCTACTGTAATCAATTCAAACAATTTATAGAAATTATGTACGTTGTTTTATTTGTCTTTTAAGAATTATATTTTAGTGCCTTATAATTATCGGATTAATAAATTGGTGTTCAGTCTTCAGATAAGACTAAATTAGTACCCAAATTTTTTTTTTTTGTTTTTAAGAAAAAACCCTTTGAATGCGCTTGTCCGTTCTTTGAAACATAAAATGTCATTTATGATTATTCTAAAAAAAATGCCAATTATGCTTCTTATACCCGTTTTAAAATGACATAAAGAATATGTTTACGTGACATGTGATATCATTTACGCAGTAGTTAAATACTAAACACTAGCAGTGGCGAAATATAGAAAAAGACACCAACATTAAGTGAACATTTGGTTAATGGGTTCAGAATCATGATTCAAAATTATTTTTAATTTATGTGTATTTTTTGTGAGAGAAAATACTGTAGCGAACCACGAACCATAATCCGAACCATGACACAAATCCTTGCTTCAAACGCAGACTTAACATTACGACAACTAGAGCTTGAATAGTAATAAGAATAACCGTTCATTTCACTGATTCGAGTTTAGAATTCGAGTTTTACTATAGTAAAAAGTTATCAGAAACAGTCACATCTAATTTTTTTACTACAGTACAAAATTCTCACATAAAATCACATTTCAACTTGAATTAACGAACTAAACGGACCCGTTACATAAATAAGAATATGGCAAGTGGTAGTGTTATATAGAATTGTTTTGGAAGGGCGTCAAAGAAAAAGTCCCGCATCGCCTAGGAGACCAATGAGTAAAAGTTCTCTGCACACGATTGCAAAAGTTAAATAAACAGATGAAAACGACAATATTTAAAAACAATGACAACGGTAAAAGACAATTAAGAACGCAGACGACAATAATCGATTAATCTTAAAGCGGAAGAAACGAACTCAAGTAATTGGACGACAAAACATAAAAAAAGTCAGCACATAAGAACAAGGGACTTGTTCCCTGCTTTTTTGGAACAACAACAACAAAAATAAGTGAAAGGACACGAGAAGCACTAACAACATGATAAATCACTGCAGAGAAAAAAGGGAAAAAGCATAAATAAATCAACCACATTAAAGTTAACACGACAACGGATTGAGAAAATGATGTTAGAAGATAGATGACGATAAAGGTGGAAGCCACAAAACTATAAACGACACCAAAAGAAGAGAAATAAACGACAGAAGTGACAACAGATGGTAAAGCGGTAAAGCCTGTAGCAAAACGAAAAGACGACGACAAAGAAGAAAAATGAAAGGGACACACAAAAATGTCGTGTTTGAAATTAATTCTATTTTTATTTTTTACGTTTTTTTGAGAAATAAAAAATAAAAATATTTATAAAACAGCGTTTGGCACAATAAAGATAAAAAAAATAAAAATAATTTTTTGATTTAGTCGTTTTTTATTTTTTGTTTTTATTTTCTCCTCTATCAAGCAGAGAGAGAAAGAGAGAGATTAACGAGTTTTTTTATACTGAAAATAATAACTTGATAAAATTAATAAATGCATTTTAAAAAATGATATATGTATGAGGTTGAAAACGTTTTCATTATCATTTTCATATACGAGTTCTAAAAGCGCCTAAAGGAGACGACATCAAATATTTAAAGGACACCAAGGGAAACGACGACATCAAATGTTGAAAGGACACCGGCATGTATTGACGACAACAAGAGAGCTAAATGACAACATAAACACGACAGCAAAAGGAACAAACGAGTAGAAAGAAGAAAACGCCAAAAAAAATCCAGCCAAAAAATGAAGAAGAAAACACCAAAAGGAACGTACGTGTGATAAGTTAAACACGACGACAAAGGAGGAAACGACACCAATATATGGTAACGACGCCAAAGGAGAAAACGACAACATTTATTATATGTCACCAGAATATAATATTCTTTTAATTGCGAATTAACATTATTATAATAGGCATACAATTTTTTTTTTTAAATTGAAATAAAAAAATTTACAAAAATAGTATATAAGTAAATATATACAAAATCTATTATGATTCTAAGTTTCAATAAACGCATGAATGAAAGTTACAAACTTAAATAAATTATTTATACCGACTCTAAATTCTATACACTCCAAATACAAATCCTACCTATTGCAATTCACGCTCACTATAATTAGAAATAAGTAACCACACCTTCAAAAAGTTGGTATTCCACATACTATTATGGAAAAAAAGAGCCAAATTTACGCCCAAAAATAGTCCGGGTAAATAATACAGGCCCATTCTTAAATGAAACGACAAACTCTTAAAAAAAAAAAAAATGAAACGTCAAATTTTAAGAAATATACAGTAGGAAAAAATAAATAAATTCATTAATAACAAAAAACAATAAAAAGCCAATGGCCGGTCAGCAGTCGTAGGGAAAATAAAAAATCAGAGCGCCGCATCCGATAAAAACCGCGGGAAATGGAGGGTGGAGCCGAAGGGGAAGTCGCCGGAGTCCGTCCGACTAGCTCCGAAACCCTAACATCCGCGACGGACCTCGATTCGCAGTCCACAGGTCCTGAATCCACTGCCGATCCCGGTGAGGATGGTCGTGCCAAATCGGAATTCCCGGTGAACCGGACGGAGATCTTGAGAGCTCTCGAAGTGGTCGAGAGGGACTCTCTCGCGATCTCCGAGAGCTTCGCCTCTCTCTTCGCCTCTCTTCGCATGGCTCTCTCCGAGGTTTTCCTTCTTCTTCTTCTTTTCTTTTTTTTCCTGTTTGGATTGCGAGAAAGTGAAGGAAACGGTAGGAAAATCGGACTTTTGAGAGATTTTTGATTTATTTATTTTAATTTTTTGGGAGATTGAATTGAATGATTCGGATTCATTTGTAGATTACGAGTAACTCTGTTGATCACATGCACTGTTTCAGCGATGCGGCTGGTCGACTTCAAGAATCTGGTGTGTATTTATCTTGGTTTAGTTAGTGGAAAGCTTCAGTTTTTAGGAATTGGAATTTTCGTTTGCTCTCTTAAGGAAAACTTTTACAAGTTGTGGTACTAATGGATTGGGAACACCATAAGAAAGAAAGAAAAAAAAAATCTGAACTTTAAACTCTTCTCTTTACCTTGTAGTACGATTTTGGAATGGTTCTTTAGAAATCAGGATTCTGTGAGAATTCTTATGTGTTTTTGCTTGGTATTTTATGGTTTCTTCTATTCAAGGATGATTAGAATTTTTGTGGATCTTTCGGTATTATCTGCTAAGCCCCCAAGTAATTTGTTAGATTCTCATGTTATTTTAAGAGTGGATTTGTTTGCTCTGCAGTGCTTGATGCTGCAACAAAGGGAAATCGGTATATAAATTCATGTCTCAGGTACTGCTTCATCATCGTCATTGTAACTCATACCACCACGGTACATAAAGCGATAAAATATTGTCATGCCATGATGTCTTTGATGTGATAATGAGATTTCAGTTATTTCGTATGTTTGTTTTGTTGCTTAAAATTGATGCCTTTGCATTGTTGTTATCACGTTATGCTGTGAAAGTTATCCTTTATTCAATAATGTTTTACCCATTTTGCTATTTTAGATAACATTGAGTTTGATAAAAAGGATTCATTAGCCAAACTAAAGTAGTCGGGTTTAAGTCTTACATGAGTGTGTAATTTTAAAATCTTTGGCAAAAGCAAAAGAAAAGTTAGAAAAGTATGTCAACTCCTAAGTCTGGACTAGTCCTTCATAGGATAGTTGGTGCAGTTGAAAGCAAAGTGAGGCATGGGATTCATTTGTTCTTTGCTTGGAGTGCAACTTTTAAGAGAGAGAGAGAGAGAGAAAATGCTCCTCTTTGGTGCTAAATTAAGCAAACAGTGGCATTAATTACCAAAACTATTTGGAAACCAGCAGCAAGTTTCTTGAGATCAAGAGTCCAGCCTCTGTTATAACTTACAAGTTATCCATACCAAGTCAATGTTGGATAGAACTCAACATTAGACTAGATGTTGCTGGAGGATGAATGAATTTGATGTAATTACTGTTGGAAACGGACCCGGTAACAGCTGAGTGAATGATGCTACAAATTATGTATCAGAGTAGCAGTGAATGCGATCAAGTCTAGTTAGAGATTTTTAGAGCATTCTAAATCTTAGTTACACCCTGAAAGGGAAAATGAACTTTTTGGATGACTCTCTCATTTTTCTTCTGTGAGTTAGTGATGGCCTTTCTAAGCTTATTTTGAATTTGTTTTTGTCAGATTAAATGAGGAAATGAAGGGCATTGACAATCTAGCCATGCAATTGTATCCTTTACATTTAATTTTTTAATGTGTTTGTGTGTTGCATAGATTTTGCTTCATTCCTAACTCATGAAATGAAATTCATTTTGACTCCTTAATGTTGTCAAAGAAAAATCTTGAGGCGAAATGTTGACGCTCTCGATTCAGCTGTGAACAGGCTTCTCCGAATCCCTTGACACATCCATTCTTGATTTCCTGGTTAAATTAAGCATGGAGCTGAAACTTGTTGACAAACTTCATTGACCTGTATTGCTCCTGAATTTGGATTTGAAACTAGCTGTCACTGGCCTCCAGGGCAATGCAAAGTAAGCCTCTAACTTTCACCTTGGTTGATAGACATTGAATGTTAAGAACACATGAGAGTCATTAATTGTAACAATTTAACTTTTACTTGTATATACCAATTTAAGTTGTTTTCAAAATAATCTTTGTTTTCCCCCTGGAACCTAACATTGAGAATACTATGTCTTAGCTACTCGTGGCTATTCTGAGGCCCGTCAAAGCTACTTTTGCTATGGTCTGCACCACTTTTCAGTGGCTAAGAGAAAAAATAAAAGGTACCTTTTGTCCAAGGTTTTTGCATTGGTTGACGGTTGTCAATTTCCATATTAAAACACAAGTGTGGAACCATGTTTGACTGTAATATGTGGGAATTGTGGAATGGATGGTATCCTAGTTAAACCAGAGTCATTTATCCTTTTTTTGCGTTTAAATCTTTTTGTTTTGGGTCAATTGAAATGGTGCACTTTGCACACTCATAAGTGTTTTGCAACTTGGATCGCAAACTTTTAGTTTTGGCAAATGGAATCCGAAATTTGAACACTTATTGCAATTATGATCTAATAGCTAATGGACGTATTGTTATACTAATGAGTAATGTACTACGAACTTTTTGTTGCTTGACAAATTGGACTAAACTTTATAAATTTTGATATTTTGGACCGTAATTATCGACCATTTAAAGTTTAATATTCAATTTGTAAATGACGAAAATATTCAGGATGCATGATTGCAATTTACCTTTCTCATTCTAGACAGCCTAAATTAAGGATATTATATTCTGGCTTGTCCGGTTGGCCCGGTTACTGCATAGGTGGTCCAAATAACACGGTGCTTGGGTTTTCTTGACTTGATTTCCACTTGCTGATTAATTAACATTTTCTGTCTAACTTCCATATCCTCATTGCATGTGTTTTTCTTTCCTTCTTTTTTCCTCGGTGAAAAAGGGCCAAATGCAACAGAACACACAAACAAAGAGACCAAGCCTCACACCGCCAGTCTCTAAGCAAAACGAAAAGGCCTTTTGGTCGGAGAAACTAGCAAACCCAGTTCCATGGAGCCTTACATGTAGGCAACGGCTAGCCTAAAGATCTGCTCGAGTAACCCCCCTTAGGAGCCAAACCCTTGAGTAACACCCTTGCAATCTTCTTCCACAATCGCGTGCTCGAGCCCCTTAGCCTAGAGACTCGCTTTGGCCTCCCTCATTGCAACCGAGACTGCGCCGCAAAAAATTAACCCCGGCCTCTGCAATCCACCCAGCATCATCCCGTGCCACCACAACAAGCGTACATTAAGCGTCCCTAAAGCCTACATCATCAAGGTTGAGTTAACAACTCCTGCATGAGGGGAAACCATAACCTCTCTGAAGCCCGCGTCTTTTTTTTTTCTTTTTCTTTCTTTTTGGTTTGGTTAACCGATGAGTAATCGGGATGAGCCTGACTAATCTTATTGGTCTTGCGCACCGTGTCCTTGAAAGTTTTCCTACATGAGACAGTGTAAATCATTAGTATTTACATTAGGGTAAGTCTCCAAAAAAATGCACCAAAGAGGATCCAAACCATCCACCGAAGGGAGTAAGAGTCCGTTTAGTTCGCTGATTTAAGTTTTTAATCTGAGTTGAGATGTAATTTATTGTAGTAAAAAAGTTTGATGTAATTGTTTCTGAGAGCTTTTTACTGTAGTAAAACTTAAATTCTAAACTCAAATCGGTGAAATGAACGGGATATAAACCTCTAGGGTCCCAAACTCTCTAATCATGGAGGACTTCTTTCTATTTCACTTCTTTTTATCTTTTCAAATGGTCAATTTAATGTGGTTTAGAAACAATGTAGTATGATCAATTTTCAAGTTGGGCGGCTAGCCAATATCATTTAATTAAATTATCTGATTCCAACCATATATTAATTAATGTAAGACAATACATGTAAGAAAGAAAGCAAAATATATATTTAACACGTCATTTATGCAATTAAATGGATCAGTTTTGGTCTCCTCGAATGCAACAAAATTCTTGCTACGTATAATAAGAAAATCATGTCATGTTACTTCATGCTGCTCAAAGCATTAATAATAGTCAAAGTAATTACATTCTAAGATTCGTACCTAATCAGCTAACAAATTATTATTATTATTATTATTTACGTCTTCCTCGGTTGAACAGACCAGCTTAGGGATTGGAATTTGAGTTTAATAGTTCGTGAATTGTCTCACTCACGTTAATCTTATAGTAATGCTAACGTATCAAATGGTGAAACCGGGATTACTTAAGGGGCACGTTTACTTTGCAATCAAAAGGAAAGGGAAAATAAAAGTGAATTCTTTTTTTCTATTTAATAATGTGTTTACATATAAAATTAGTAATAAAAATTTAGTTAGTCTCACACAATATATAGAATGAGAAAATGGAACATCAATCCTTGCACTCCTTTTATTATTTAATTCTTTGTCTAAGGAAATAAATGTTAAATTTACTTATCTACCCTTAATGAATTACTGTACAATCAATGATTATTTAATTGTGTAAAATGATATTTTAGTGATTAATTCATAAAATTACTATTCTTAATTTTAGTAAACGTAAGAAAGGGAATGAGGTTGTTTCCAATTACACAATCTAATAGTCAAATAAATACATAAAAAGGAATAAATGATCCTTAATTCTATTACTTTACTTTCATTTACAATCTCATTACCTTTCCCAGCTTTACGGTTTAATAAATGCGCCCCAGATGTAAAGTCATACTTTGTGCTCTATTAGTATGCATGCGTAATGCATTACATATTTTGATTGACATATGTTATATAACTAAAACAACAGTAAAACTACGATCGTGCAAATAAATTTTCGGCATTCTCTATAGTGGAACACCCAAAAAAAAAAAAAAAAAAAACTCATAAGTGGAACACTACTTTTCTATCGTTGGATTAATTTTTTAACGGTTAGATTTGAAGCAGAAGCAGTTTTGTGTGGTGCGTTGTAAATCTTTATTACAGATCTGTACAAATTTAACTATTGAAAAATTAATCCAACGGTTAAAGATCGAGTCTGGCCGGTGAGTCCGTAAAACTTGCCTAATTTTCGTGTATTAGATGGTAGTTAAATTGATTTATAAGAGTGACATTTGAGTTGTGTGGATGGAACTAAACAACATAAAATTTCAACCGTTTAGTCCAACTCCTGAAAAATACAAGCATGATACGACTGGGAATAGCCGGTCCTACCATAGTTGGATTCGTAAAAGAATCTAGCGTTTGGTAGAGGGATTCGTTCCCTGATTCGAATCATGATTCGTGGTTCGCTACAGTATTTTCTCTCACAAAAAATACACATAAATTAAAAATGGTTCGAATCACATGGTTTGAATCCTCTAACCAAACGAACCCTTATTAATTCTCTTCCCACTGTGTACTATTTTGGCAACTGATTTGTCGTTCAACTTGCAGATATTATTAACTTCACTTTAAAAGTTCGAACTTCAAATAAAGACAAGTCAACTAGCTTATCACTTTAGTTGAAAGATTTTAGGCTATTTTGTCCATGGAATTTAATAAAATTATCAGTCAAGATTGGATTGCAAGAAATTGCATTATGCTTAATATTTGATGCGGTACTGGCCATAGGAATATATTGGATTTTATTATTAAGATCTAAAAACAAACTCTTTTTTTATGAGTGAGATTTACTGCAAGGAAGCGTGGTATTTAAATCCCATCTCTTACTTTTGGATTTCTCTTTTTTTTTTTTTTTTTTGGGGAAAAGTTTTGCATTTCAATTTACTTTATTCTGTGAAAGTTGAGAGACTACGGGTCCATTTAGTTCACTGATTTAAGTTTTTAATTTGAGTTGAGATGTGATTTTATGTGAGAGCCTTTTACTGTAGCAAAAAAGTTAGATGTGACTGTTCTTGAGAGCTTTTTACTATAACAAAACTCGAATTCTAAACTCAAATCGGTAAAATAAATGGAGCCTACTTGTACCTAAAAATAACTTGTAGTACTTTCAAAAAAAAAAAAAAAACTTGAAGTGACAACAAACATTGAATGGAGTCCCACTGCTCAATTTACGCATACTTGTAGGAATTCAACCCCTATATATCTATATATATAGAATTCAACCCCTATATATCTATGTATACATACATACATATATATATATATATATGTATAACAAGATCAACAATATGCATTACAAAATTCACTAAAATAATCAGTGACAGGCAAATGAAGGTGCCCAATCACTCAATCAGCATCACCTAAAAGCGACAATTGCAAGAAATTCAATGCCGACTGTCCGCATCTTATTAGTTGTTTAATATATAATCCACAACACCCATATTATTTAATAAAGTTCCAGAAAAGAAAAAACACCCATTTGACCTTAAAAAAAAAAAAAAAAAAAACCCATTTGTTTAAACTTAGACCCATTCTTCCAGCCACCAAAAAATAAATAAAAAATAAATAAATTTTGACAATACTACAGCAATTAGCCTAGCCTGTTGGCCCCCCATAGGCTCACAACGATTTATCAACTGGTGCGGTCCCTTCATGTTATGATAGCTAAGAGAGCATGAGTATACTAAAATCTCATTCATTTTATTAATTTGAGTTTAAAATTAAAGTTTTGTTACAGTAAAAATCTCTTAAAAATAGTCACATCTAACTTTTTTACTACAGTAAAAAACTCTTATATAAAGTCACATCTTAATTCAAATTAAAAACTCAAATCAGCGAATTAAACGGGTCCTAAAATTTCATTAGATTTCACGTATTATGAGGTGGGAAAAATATAAAACTTCACAATTTCAAAAGGAGACAAACTATAGTTTTAACATATAAAATTAAATTTTACCGTGGTCTATACAAAGCTCTTTTTCTTTTCTTTGTTTTTTTTTTTTTTTGGTGGAATCGTCTATACATAGCTTCATCCTTCATCTTGTTGCAAACATATAACCTATAAAGATCGAGATATACAAAGATATATACACACACATATAAAAGTTAAAATGTAACATTACATCTATTTCTCATATATAATAGGTATTTTAAAATATAATGACTTTATTTATCTCAAATAAGCTGCATGTTGTCCTTTAATAAAATTATTATTGTTACATAAAATAATAAACACCATGTTATTATCGGTATATATAATAATGAATAATATATTATTATATCCTTCCATGCAATTGAGAAAAGTGGTGGCAATATCTCATTATTTACGTAAAAGGTGATGGTTGGAAAGGACAAATACGTGACTGATTGGGAGCAGATTTGATTCCTTTTGGTTTGTTCACCAAAGAAAAATGTTTCACTATTGAAAAATGGTTTGTTCAATTCTTCTCTTTTTTTTTTTTTGCTTTTTGTTTTTTAGACTTTCAAGGCTCAATTTAATGGTTTTATTGAATTTAAAAAAAATTGAAGATTGGAGCAAAAATATTCATTATGAGAAGATTTTTTTGTGTGTTTTTGCATGATTTCTTATCAATGACAACAATTTTTTTTTATTATATCAATAGAAAAACCCACATTAGAGGTGATTTGAAAGAGTCACAAATTTATTTGTGAACCTCAATTTATATGCACGTAAATTGGGAAAAAACACACATAAAATCAATCCTGTAATTTATTTAATAAAAGGGATGGATTGTTATGATAGATTTTTTTTTTTTTTTATATCTTGCTATTTCTACAAGATTTTAGTCGAACATCATGAATGTTCAGTACTTTCTACCGCAATAAAAGTCATATATAATATGCGATATTAATTAACTTTAGGATATGTGATACATTACTTTGACCCCTCGTACACTTTACTTGCAATACTGAAGCCACGACAGACTTTACTATTTTTTTATTTTTACCAAATTTCAATTATTTTTACTTTTTTAACAGTTTTCATTATTAGAGTTTAAAAAGAAAATTGGAACCAACACTGAACAATCACTATTCACTAACCCATTTTGAACATGACAAGTCGGGCATTCCATTTGTTATATAAATATAAATATATATATATATATATGTGTGTGTGTGTGTACACACGTTACATATATATATACATATATATATATAGACAAATTTGGATTGGACGGATATTTTAAACACATTGATGTAGTTGAGGGAGTGCCATCACTACTTCTAAAAAGTCAGGAGCAAGTTAATATAACCAAGAATAATGAATATTAATAAAATGTTTTTCTCATGAATAATAACAAATTAGGTCTAATCGTATCCTAGGTTCAGTGACTTATACGCGCGTATAATATATATATATATATATATATATAGTATATAAGTTCTCAGAATTTGCCACTAGCACACCTTATTCAATTATTGCTAGAGCTTCGCAGGTCCATAAAATGAATATTGAAATGTTTTTCTGATGAATAATATAATAATATTGCAGGTCGCAGAAAGATATTGAATGATAAATATTCCAAAATTTCACAACTGGATATTGTCA